CACCACCTCCCCAATAATACCATCAAATTTTTAATCCATCATTATATTAATCCATGGAAGAAGTTAGTGCCCTGTGATCAAAATCACTTCCCCAAAGCTTTTAACACCTAAGACTCTGGGAGACATTCCAAATCCAAACTGTAAGAGACCCTAATGGGATTCCCACACACTGCTGGCTAAGGCAGGAGGAGGAGCGGAGACCCTGAGGACAAAGAATCATGCTTGCTCTTTTCCATCTCAACTGGTAACATCCTTCCTGCTCATCCCTCCAACACCCTTATTTTGAGATGTAAGTTGTTATGGTAGTTAGAGGGGCCAACAGCAAACAAGGGTGTTAATAGCTTCCTATGGACAGGATACGAGCCACAAAACTTGTGAAAGTTCACCCTGTYTGTGGCCTTGAGATACAATCCTCCTCTGAAGGAGCTTACATAGTTGGTCCCTGAGTCCTCTGAGATTCTGACACCTGACCCACACCATCACCCATTACCCTCTGATCCCATGGAGTCCACAAAAAATGGAAGCAAGGTCCTGATGCTGGCACTATCAAGTGAAGCAGGGAACAGGGTGAGCAGTTAAGAATGTATCACCATACTACTAGGTAAAGACAACAGGAAGGAAGAATGGAGGGTGGAGAGGAAAGACGCAAATCATAGCAGTAAGACGCAAATCATAGCAGTTAACAGCTAATATTTACTGAGAGTTTATCATGTGCCAGGTGTTTCACATGTGCCTACCAAGGAGGAAACTCAGGTCTGAAGAGCTTACATAGCTACCTAAGGTCACTGACTGTGAAGTGGCAGAGCCAGAGCTGAACCCTGGTGGTCTGAGCATGGAGCTCACTCCCAGGCCTGGACACGGGGCTTTGAGAAACACCCAGAGGGAAGAGACTAAATGACCACAAGGAGAGTTATTGTGATACAATGAGAGGACACTGGGTGGGGTTTGAGCCATGTAGCCCTACTGTTATTTATGTAACTTTCTACTGGTCACTCGCTATATCTGAGTCCTGATTTCCTCACCTGTGACGCAGAGCAGAAATTTTCAGTCTGGCTTCTGGGGTCTGGGCAAGTTCTAGCAAATACTGAAGGAGAAACTAAGGAGGTAGAGCTAAAGCAGCGCTCCCACTTCAAGTAGAACACTACTATTGTGACCTGCTGTAAATGGGGGATTGTGTAATTCTTCAATGGGGCAGAAAAAAGTTCCGTACTGAAAAAAATCTGTTTGAGAACCCCTAGACTAGATATCTCAGAGGCCACTTCCATTTTAAGTGATTTTGTTTCTAATCTCAAGTAGGGTGTTGACACTGAAGAGTTAAAATGACACCAGATGTCTAGGATGGGGATAAGTAAAAGGCTCTAATGAAGCCAAAGAGCCCGTCCGGTTTATTTGCTCAACAAATAATCGGCAAGAGTCAAAGCCTGGCACTACAAATCTCTTTTATCCTCTTCTAGAATATGAGCATAAAGCAGAGAACACAGGAAGTTTCTAATTTGTACATAAGGTGTGGTCTAAATGGGGCACTTTTCTTTTTCAAGGTTTGGGTTCCTATCACCATTTTATTATGTATTAGATAATTTTCCTTCCTGGAAAGGAGGGCAAACTTCAAGCTGCTTCTTGGCTTGGTTATATGGACTCTGATCACATTTTCCCAAAAGGAYAATCAGGGTGGAGTTGGAATGGAAGATATAAGATCAGCTGCGGGAGAGGGAAAAGAGGGCAGGATTCTCCTGGTGGAAAGTCAACCCTTGGAAGAAAAGGAAAATATGGGAGTTGATACTAATAAGACAGGAAAAAGGGGATGAATATATTTGAAAGACTAAATATGGGAGGCAGGGCACTGGGGGAGGGGATCAAACCCAGGGCCCATACATGCTAGGCAAGTGCTCTAGCACTGAGCTACATCTCCAGCTTCAAAAAATAAAATACTTTTTTATGGTAAGTTRTAAGTGGGAAGAGGAATGGGGAATTCCTGGTATTCAAAGAAAGTAAAGAGGTAGTAGGGAAGAGGTGTTAATTTAGGCCTGCTATCCCCCCAAGTGTGATTCACAAAGCATTTGTCACTTGAGATGATTCTTCAAAAACAGTTCTCTGGTTAGACAAGCTTGGGAAATTCTTCTGGGGATAACAGTATGCCAGTGCACACTGAAGAATCTGCAAGAATGAGACCTGAGTTCCTCAAATGTATATAGGAACCCTGGACTGGGTATCTCAGAGGCTACTTTGATTTTAAGAATTATTTCTCTCTAATCTTAAAGGGGCAGGGGCATCTTAACCAGTGTCCAGTATTAGCTAACACAGTGGTTCTGCTGGTCCATGCTAGGTTGATTAGTTATGCCAACTTGGATTTGGATAGGCAGTGGCATGTAGCTAGTGTAAAACATTCAGAAAACTATTATTTCAAGCCTGCTGTATATCTATATAAATTTTATTACAGGTACTTAAGCTAATGGCTTAATTTTACTGATCCAATATTTGTTCTGACTTCAGTTAAACAGGGCATGCTCACATTTACCTAAAATTCAACATAGCTATACATTAGCATGTTCTCCTCTTGTCTTCCTTGACCATGGGCAGCTGAATTTAAAAATTCAGCAGCATCATTAACTCACTTTTATTACCTTCTTTACCAAATATGTGTTTTAATCTAACTCTTACTACCCAAAGCACAATGGTCTATCATCTGCTCAAAGCAGATGTGTGGGAGGCCATAAGATGCCTTGCTGAATAAGATCTGACCAAACTGTGTCTACAGTGTATCACTCAGCTACTGGTATAACAACTATCAGAGAGAAAAAAAAGATGCAGTTGGCATATCCTTGCTGGTGCTTGGTAATGATGACTTTTTCTGGGTGCTCATTGCCATTGTTTTAATAGTGAACAGGATCCTGAATCTTGCTATGTGTTAAATGGCATTCCAAGCCTGCTATATTATCTATATAAATTGTGTTGTAGGTACTTAAACTGATGACTAAATTTTACTGTTTGTTTTATATTGTATTTAATATTTGAGATTAACGTGGGAGAATAATTAATTAATTTTATTTGTTCTTTTTGGTTACACGAGACAGTAGAATTTATTTTGACATATTTATACAAACATGGAGCAAGTCTTATTCTAATTGGGATCCCAGTCTTGTGGATGTAGGAGGGGAGAGGGGGCGGGGTGGAGAGAAGAGAAGTTAAGTGGATTAGACAAAAAAGAACGAAGGGAAGGGAGATAGGAAAGACAGTGGAATGAATCTAACATGACTCTCCACATCATGTACTCTACCAGACAAATGCTTCTTGACAGGACTTTCTGAAACAAACACTTAYTGGATTGAAGTGACCTGCATTTTGCAGAATATTTATCTGTTTACTCTTACATTCTCTAGAATTCTTCCAAGATGAATCACAACTTTGTGGCTGTCTTGTTTACAGGTATTCATAGGACCCTGATCTACACCTTACTTAGTCAGCAGCCTCAAGGGCTTTGCCACCCCTGCTCTTCTATCTTCAATTTCCTCGTAAATAGGACTTGTTCTGCCCTTCTCTGGCTGATGGGCTCAGCTCTAACATCTGGCCCTAGAGACTCTGGAGATTTCCCATTCCACTGATTATTTCCATCTCCAGGAATGTAAAGGCTCCTTTCTTCCTTGAGGTCCCCATTCACGGGCTACAGCTGAAATGCTCATCTCTCCCCCAGCCTTTAGAACCTAATTTACATCCCAGTTCTTTAAGGTTACCGCTCTTTCCTTCCTCTGAGTTTTAAAGCATTTGGCAGTTACCACCCAATCACATGCTATTTGGGATTGATAACAAATTATTGCCTGGAAAGGTCCCACTTGTCAAAAGTGGGTTAGAAACTTCAGGACAGGTAACACTGAGAATTTAGACTTCTTGAGACTCTCTCTGTAATAAATGATGCAGCTCCATGCCACAGCAATCCTCAGAAGTGCTGAATGGACAGACTGTTGTTTCAAGCTTCTCTTATGGTCCAAGGGAAGGCACACAAAGTTCCTCTATTTTAATGGAAGCAGTAAACTGCCAACAATCTTACTACTTCAAGATGACCCAGAGTGCATCTTGAAATGAAAGTTGGACATGGGCATTGTAGAAATGAGCATACTCTGTCTCTTCAAATGAATTTCAAAGAAATTTGGTAAATCAGATGTGTCACTGTACCTAAGAGATTACAGCCTAAGGACATGAATTTAAATATTTGGGATAAACTGAAAATACCAAAGTTATACTCTTGGAAATATAATAATACTCCTCAAGCAGACTGGAATAAACAAAGGTATTTCAATAAAAATGCTCTTAGATCAGTCTGATTCTCCAGGTTGTGGTTATGGGGGCTGATGGTGCTGTCAGCATCAGTTTCCTAAGCAAGACTAAAGCCCAGCACACGCACAGATCAGATATACACTGAGAACTCTTTCTCAGACTCAGCCCAGTCCATAGGCCTCTCAATGGCCTTGAGTCAGACTTTCCCAGAAATTCACCAGAGGCTGGCATGCAGGCATATGGCCTCAGCTCAGCTCACTGTCTCCTGTGGGTGCCCCAGAAGACACTGTCTGACTGGATAAATTCTAAAGCTGCCTAGAAGTCTGATATCTAAATGGGCAGTTTTTGTTTTTTAAAAATAACAGGGAAGTATACAGCTACCCAAAGATAGGAAATAATCAGTGCTTTACTTTGGGATAATTAGGGTTTCCATTTTTGTCTCTCAATTTTGCTGGAGGGCTAACTTAAAAAAAAAAAAAAAACCCAAACAAACAAATATGCAAAAAAACACTCCAGCAATTCCCTTTAGTTATCAGAGCTTATAGCAACAAGCAAGGACATTGTTTGGCATTTAGCTCATCTATACTGCTTAAATAAAGTAGTGGTGGTACCATTGGCTCTGCACGATAAAATGCAGGTGTCTAGGAAATCACTCCCCTTCTCCTGCCACGCATTATACACATATGGGCACATATACTTTCCCTCCCTCTTTACCTTTTTCCAGACCTCACCTGGTTGATAACATAAATGCCATAATCCAGCTGCTGGCGCTGCAGGATTGGGTGCAAGTAATACAGCCAATACTTGAGGTGTTCCTGCCGGTTGCGGAATGGAATAATGATGGCCACCTTGTGAGGAGAGATGCAGTCCTTGGGGGTGTAACGGCCACCCACCTTTACCTCTGGGTTCTTCTTTGCCAAAAGTTCCAGATCCACAGGAATGTTAAATTCAATCAGCATGGGGCCAACTAGAGAGATGGAAGGAAAGGGAAGTTAGTAGCTCACTCTATTCTGCAAACTACATCAGATGACCAAGCCCCACCTACAGAGGAGACATCTCCTTCTGGGCAGCAGTGTGGTCATGGGAATGGTGCCCAGCAACAGGTACCATAGTCAACACTAGGGTGAACAATCATCTCAGGAAATCCCTAAGTGCTGAAAGCCCTATGTTCTAGCAATACCCCACGCCCACTCCAGAGCTGGGCAAACCTCAGGTTACCCTATGGCGCACTTCAGACTCCACTGGAAAATGGAAATAATTTTGCTCAGACTTCCTGACAGGCCATTGTAAGCATGAGTAATCATAAATGAGAAAGCACTTTCTCTGCTTGATGCAGTGGCACCTGCCTATAATCCCAGCTACTCAGGAGGCTGAGGCAGGAAAATAACTAGTTCATGTACAACCTGGGAAAGTAGACCCTGTCTCAAAATAAAAAGTAAAAAGGACTTGGGATATAATTCTGTAGTAGAGCATCCCTGGGTTCAATCTCCAGTACCAAAAAAGAAACTCCTTTCTCAAAAATCCTATATTTGAGACCTAACTCTGTCACTAGCCAGCTGGGAAGGCTTAAAAAAAAAAAAGAACTGATGTGGCTCTCTAAATTTGTTTTGAGGAGAGGGGTGTGTGTGTAGCTCACTGTGAAGGACCCCAGCTGCGGATCCGAAGGTAGTGGGGAGTAAAGGGACCTGATATAGAGGTTAACCAAACTCCATAGGGAGAGGCAATTAGACCACAAAAGAGACTGAGGGGAAAGAAAAGAAACAGCTGGAAAGAACAAAAGCTTAGAAGCAGTAGTGGGTACTGCCACCAAGAGGATGAAGAAAGTTAGAAAAATCAGAGATGCCTCCAAAATTTCTGGCCTGGAAGAACATAGATCCAGATCAGATCACTAAGAGATCTCTTGGCTCAGAAGAAACAATGATGAGCTGTGGACGGTAGATACTGAGGTAGTGAATATAGAGACAAAGCAAAAAGTTGGGGTCCAGATACAGGGCATTTGGCACACATGGTGTGGTCCAGAAACACACAGGGAATCAGGGAGAGAGCCAAGATGTAGACCCAGGCTCACAGTACTCACTGTACACCAGACTTCCTCAAATGGGTTCCAGGAAATATGCTCAGTGGGAAGACATGTCCCTGGTCAAATCAGGTTGGGAACCCTGCTTCTGGAAAAGCATGACACACACCAAGGGCTCTGAGGAACTGTGCAGTCAAGAAACTCCTTTCACTTTATTAACCCATCATTTCCCAAACTTAGTCACAGGACCATTTTGTCAGGAAATACATTTTGGGCACTGTTAGCTGCAGTGTAACTGGCCTCACCTTTGAAGCACTAAACAAAGCCAGGAAGCTACAGAACTACAGAACGAGGTGGGAATGCTAACCACAAAACTAACATCAAAGTTCACCTGAAAAGTACTGGTGAGAACCAACCACCCACAGCCAGGCCCGGTGTCCTCAGTCTGCCCTGTTTCAATAACCTATGGCTGCTGCCCATGCAGCCCTTGTGCCCTGGGAAGCACTCATCCTCCTGACAGAAGGAAGCTGCGAGCCATCTCCTCTTGCCCAACAGCAGGTATAACTCACAAGCAGCCGCCTCCTCCTTTCCTTAGCACACTCTTCACATCTTCCCTCCTCATCACTGACCCAGTTCCATCATCACAGAACCTGTTGCTATTGGTTCATTTTCTTTGAGACACAGCTCTGATCACTTCACCTTCCCGGGAAAAACCTCCAATGGCTCAGAAGCTGTATGGCTTTGTACAAGATAATGTCAAACCCCTCCTTAGCTAGGCACCAAGCCCTCAGCTCTGTCTGCCTCCATCTCCTACAAATAAGTTGATGTCCATATCTTTCCCTTTGCCAGAAATGCCCTTCCCTCTATCCTTGAATGGGTACACTTTTGCATTCAGAGACAAGTCTCAATCAGGCTTCATCTTTTACTCTCTTCATTGCCACAGAGCTGAGGCAGTAGAACCCCTGAGGTAGGTCTGCTCCCCAAACTCCCAATGCCCTGCTGTCTCCCTGACCTTAATCTCTCTCCTGGACACCAGGGGCCTCATAGATCAGTCTCTCACAAGACTGCTGCTGACTGCCAGGATGCCCTCAGGTGAGCAGTCACTATGCTCTGGATGTAAATCAGTGGTCATCCTGGACCAGTTTTTCCCAAACCTATCATCAGAATCTCCTGAGGCAATTGGTACAAATATAAAAATATGAAGCCCCTCCCTAAAGAATCCAACTCAACAGATCTTGAGAAGGACCTAAGTGGATAATTAACAAGGAGCCCACATAATTCTTACTGGGAAAACTGGGCAATAAGAAGCTGGATGGCTCATCTTCATAAGTCTTGGGACTTTCAGGCAAGAGAATTCACATGGATTTCCACCACTTCACCCTTCCCACAAGATCTGCCAGGCCTGGGCTGCGTAACTTCCCAAACCTATGCAAAGACCTTGAGAGGACCTGTGACACAATGAACTCATGAAAAACATGAAAAGAACATCATTGGGTTTTTCTCACATCAGAGGAGTTGTTTTCCTCACAACATCTGCAACTCACCCAACCTTTGGTTCTGAAGATGTACTACTAAACAACCCCGTTTTCCGGGAACTCAAGAAGCATCTGGACTGTTCCCCTACCAACTTGTTCACAGCTTCTGAAACCAACCAAGAAGACAGGAATTCACATGTGGCCTGCCCAACCTCCCCAGAGCCAACACCTGCAGACCAGAAAGTGTCTCAGTGTTGCTCCCTGTAGGTAGTGCAGAAAGGTGGTTCTGAGGTAAAGAGCCCCAGAAACGAGGAAGAGATGCCTGGACCCTGTCCAGTTCCACCAGTGCCTTTCTGGATGATCCTTGGACAAGTACCATCCACTCTGAGAATACTGGTTTACCCATTTGTAAACTGCAGGATTTTGACCAGATGAACTCTAAGGTCTCATGAAGTCCTGACATGCCCAGATACTTGATCAACTAGAAGAAAGGGTCCCAAACCAAGATCTTCTGAAAATCTTTGTTCTCACCTTCTCTGTCCCCAAGAATGACAGGATGAAATGATGAGAGGTAGAAAGAAGCCCAAGCATCACATTCCCCCATGTTCCTTCCTACCTTACCACCCATGCTTTCTCAAGTCTTTCTTTGATGTCCATCTTTGCCACCTTCTTTTATTCTCCTTAAATATTGTCTCTTCTCACTCATCTAGATCTCTGCTTTAAGCGTGTGACAGTTCCCAAATCTGTCTCCATCCCACATTTTCTCCTAACCCCACAGCCAATAGGACATGACTAGCTATGTGCCATGGACACCTTAAACTCAATTTGCCCCAAATGAACTCTTAAATTTAAGACCACCATCAGTGGGGCTGGGGATGTGGCTCAAGTGGTAGCACGCTTGCCTAGCATGCGTAAGGTACTGGGTTCGATACTCAGCACCACATTAAAAAAATAAAATAAATAAAGACCACGATCAGCATCTAAGGCCTGAATGGCTGGATTCTCCTTCAGGGTTCCTTCAGCAACTGACACTGTTGATCACCCAGCAAAGGAGCTGATACTTGACACCTGGATGGTCCATTTTCCAGTCCTCTTCCTCTTTCTCTAAGCCTAGACTTGCACCCGTGTATACACGTTTTCTCACCTATCTCCACCCCCACACGCAGAGATGTAGAGGACTCTCCTCTCTCTCTGCACCGTGGCTGCCATGAACTCAGCAACTTTTTTCCACCTTTCCCTTCCACCAGTGTTCTGCCTCACCTTGAGCCTAGAGCAATGGAATCAGTCAATCATGAACTGAACCTCTGAAAACAAAATTTTTCCTCCTCTTAAAAAACAAACAAAAAACCCCAAAACAGGTATACACAGCATGCTGACAATTCATGGGAGCCTATCAAGTATGAAACCAGAATCTTTATTCTGAAATGTTTTCCTTTTTTTTTTAAACATTTATTTTTTAGTTGTAGGTGGACACAATACCTATTTTTATGTGGTGCTGAGGATCGAACCCAGTGCCTCATGCATGCTAGGCAAGAGCTCCTCCTCTGAGCCACACCACAACCCCAGCCCCTGAAATGTTTAACACAAACTCTTCCTGTGATGTGTTAARACCACTTTTGATTTGTTTCAATATTTTCAGTGTACCAATTGAGTACCTAGTGTACTAGCCCAAGGAGTGGGTTGAGGGAGGGATAATGGACAAAGATAATTTCTGCCTTCTAGGGGCTCCCTGCTGAGCATGTCACAAAACCTATATGAAAATTACCCCCACAGCTGGCTGAAGAACTTGCTCCTCCAATGGCTCCACCCAGAGCTTTATCACTGAATAGTCTCTCCCGCTCCCCTCTGCATCCCTCTCACAACCCCCATCAAGTCTCACACAAACTGAGAGCACCTGGCCCCCAATCCTGCCTTCCTTGCCCAATCTGGTAATTCTTTCTCCACTCCTCTCTCTGAAGTCTCTACAGCTCTGGGAATTCTGCAGCTGGTCTGGGAAAGCTTTATAGGGGAGGTGATGTTTTAAGCTGAAGCCAGGCAGTTACTGGATTCAGTGATATCAAAGTCCTTGGACACCTCAAGACACCTCTGCAGCTCACACTGCTAAGATGAAGAGCTCACAGATGCACCATACCTGAAGTTGAAGGTCTTCTTGGGTCCAGTGCAAGACAGGAGGCCTCCCTGAGTACCCCACATACTTCCTGCCATTCTGCAGAGGTTGATCTCTGTCATGCACCTGGCTCAGTCCCAATGAGAACACCTAGAGAGCTCAGACTCCAGGAAGAGACGATCAACACAGTTCAGACTCATGCAAACCTGCTACTAGGTCTCAGAGCCACTGCCTAGGGCTGCAAGGGGAAACTACAGGAAGAGGCAGAGAGCTGAGGGCTTCAAGACAGTCCTCAGGCCGGGCCAAGGTGCCCTTGCTGTGAGGCGCATGGCGTGTGCTACCACAGGCCCTCGGCCCTGCTGGGCTGG